ACCTTTAAGATCATCTAGTCCAACCATCAACCTAACTCTGATTTAAAAAAAAACACAAAATAAACCCATACAAAAGAACCCCCACATCACTAAGCCACGTCATTAAGCTCTATGTCAACCCGTCTTTTGAACACCTCCTTAGCACACGCCTGACGGGATGCTCAGTGCCCCGCGGACACCGAGCCACCCCCGCTCCCTCTCTCGGGACACACAGTTACAAGGCAACTTAGAAGAGCCTCATCTGTCTCAATTTTCAAACCAGGATTCACCCTCCACCACATAAATGTTCAAATACAGGATCAGCTCCGTGCTTTCATAATGGTTTAACAGCATTGGGTTGCATACAGTTGGCATTGAACTTGCCAAGGTGAGGCTAAAACCCCAGCCTTTTAACCAAAATTACTGCATAAAAAGTAATGATTGCATTTTTCAACTTTTTTTTTTTCAAGTGAGAATTTATCTTCCTGTAGCGCTGGCAGAGGGGCTGTGAGGGGCTGCAGTGTGATAGACGTGTCCCAGAAAGGGAGAGAGCAGGGAACTTTTTCTCCAAACAATTCTCATTGCAAGTACCAAAAAACTTTTGAAGAAGGAATCCCTCTGGGGGGTGATAAACCTCATAGAATCATAGAATTGTCTGGGTTGGAAGGGACCTTTAAGGTCATCGAGTCCAACCATCAATGCAATGCTGCCACAGCCATCACTAAACCACGTCCCTCAGCACCACATCTACATGTCTTTTACACATTTCCAGGATGGAGGTTCCACCACTGCCCTGGGCAGCCTGTTCCAAGGCTTCATAACCCTTTCTGTGAAGACATTTTTCCTAATGTCCAATCTGAATCTCCCCTGGGGCAACTTAAGGCCATTTCCTCTTGTCCCATGGCCTGTTCCTTGGGAGAAGAGACCGACCCCCCCTGGCTACACCCTCCTTTCAGGGAGTTGGAGAGAGTACACAGCCCTCGAGATGGGGCCTCACCAGTGCCAAGTAGATGGGGATGATCACCTCCCGAGTCCTACTCCCCTCTAGAGGTGGGGCCTCACCAGTGCCGAGTAGATGGGGATGATCACCTCCTGAGTCCTACTCCCCACGCTGTTCTGACACAGGCCAGGATGCTGGTGGCCTTCTTGGCCACCTGGGCACACTGCTGGCTCCTGTTCAGCCCCAGGTCCTTTTCCACCAGACAGCTCCAGCCACTCTGCCCCAAGCCTGTAGCATCCATGGGGTTGGTGGGACCCAAGTGCAGGACCCAGCACTTGGCCTTGTTGAACCTCACCCCATTGGCCTCAGCCCATCCATCCAGCCTGTCCAGATCCCTCTGCAAAGCTTCTCTACCCTCCAGCAGGTCGACACTCCCACCCAACTTGATGTCATCTGCAAACTTACTGAGGGTGCACTCGATCCCCTCGTCCAGATCATTGATGAAGATCCACACAGCCCCTGAGGTACCTGCTTAAGGCAGGTTTTCCACCTGCTCTCAAATTCCCGTGTGCAGATCGGCCTCGAGACCGTTCTGCCTGCAGGGAGAGGCTGCTTGAGGACCCAAAGGTAACCCCGCAGCACCTAAACCACCCCACAACCCCCAGCCTTAACACCAGACCTGAATTTCACCGCAGGCAGTACTTAAACCACCAAACAACTTCACGTACAGCTCCAGAGGAGCTGGAGGTTCCTGCGAACGTGCCAGGGGCTGAGCTCCCGGGATGTTGCCCCTCTCCAGGGAGGCATCTTCACAGCCTTGGAAGCACCTGACTGAGAAGGCGCAGAGGCCAAACCTGCACAGCAAAACCTGATGGAGGGTTTCCAGTCTAACTTTGAGACCATTGGGTGACAGGGACACACAGCACAAAGCCACAGACAGAGCTGGGGACCAGCAGGAGGACACGGCGGCTGCAGCTTCACACGGAGCCACTCACAATCCAGGGAAAGGCAGCCCCGTTCCCCACGGCTGCTCCTCGGTCTCACCCCAAAATACAGCACCACCAGCCATGCCTGCCAGGGCAGGTATCCCTGTGCTTGTCTGTGTCTAAAGCAGTAAGGAAATAAATAGTGTTTTTCCCAGTTTCTCTGCAGAAGAATCAGGTCCCCATGCCACGGGGTCTGCGCGTGGGCAGCATGAGGTGCAAGGTGGGACTGACGAGCTCATCTCCTGCAACCGCAGCCGGGCCATGGGACCGGAGGGACAGTGAGTGGGCTCCATCCCCGCCACGGCTCTGGCACAGCTGGAAACCTCTGGCAGTCATTTCCTGCCACCAGTTCCATCCTCCCACCCCCACCGGTCATAAACCCCCTCCCAAACAGCAGCAGCGGGTCCCCCGGGGAGGATGCCGTGCGGAGGAGTGCGAGGTATCCCCAGGAAACCTCCCAACAATCACCATTTCCTCCGAAACAGAGGGAAATTCATGACCAAAGGGATCTGTTGAAGGACAACCAAGGTTGCCAATGGCACCTCGTGCTCCCCAGAACAGCGTAGGCAGCTTCTGCTCACGGAAACTCCTGAAATTCAGGAAAAGTCCTCCCCTTGAGGAAGGGAAGCACCCCCCATAGCACAGCCCACCCACCTGGACTCGTCCCCTCCGACCACTCTCACCCGGTGGCGCAGCCTGGACAGGGTTTGCTGGCTCGAGGGCCACCAGCAGCGGGTCAGCGTAGCCCTGCACATCACAGTGTCCCCAGCCAGGCGATGGAGACACATTGCTCTTCCTCCCAGTCCTCCCTTGAAGCCTTTCTCTGCAGCGGGTGGACACCGAGCTCCACTGCTGCCCCACAAATGCACCCCACGGAGGGCTGTTACACACCTTCACCACCCATGGCCTCTCCTTGCGGACACAGAAGGGGCGAGGGTTTGTGTTGTTCTCCAGAAACCTTAAATATTGCCCACAGGCAAAGACGAACACAGATGATAGGCAGCAGCTCCAGGCAAGCTCTGCCTGAGCTGGAACAGCCCGGTGTCTTCCAACAGCCCCATCATCTCCCTCCACCAGGCTTCTGGCAGAGGCAACAGTCCAGGCTAGAGCCGCGGCGTCACCTCCCTGTCCTCACCAACACAGATCGGCTTTGGAGAGAGCATTTGGCACCCGGCTGGGAGAGATAAGCTCCTCCAGGTCCCTATTCTCCAGGCAGGTAGATGCCAGCAGAGGCAGCCCCACGATCCCAGGGAAGGAGCAGCAGGACGCCCCGTCTTCCTGCACCCGGCTCCATTACATCAGCAGGAGAGGATGCAGCCGCCGAGCCAAGGGAAGCGGAGGAGAGATCAAACGATCGTAGGAACCTCTCCCCAATTACCAGCCCTTTGCATAAGCAGAGGAGAGCGTTCCCAACCGGTTTGGACACCACGTCAGCACCTCTGCCCCGCGCCACGCTGCTGCCCTGGGGGGGTGCTCGCTGCCCTCACCCCCTGCACACACGAAGCCGCCATTCGGAGCATCCCGCCGTGGCTCGGAGCCCCTCGAGGACGTGGCACGGAGCAAAACCTCCAGCCACTTGGCTCAAACCCACAACCTGCTTCGCCCACGGAGGGTCACGGCTGCACAGGGGCTGCTGTCACCAGCGCTACGGCTCAGCCTTGGCATTTATTTCTTTAATTGCTGCGTGCAACACAGCCAGAGCCCAGCTTGACTCATGAGCCCCCGGGGAAGAGCTCAGGGCTCTGAAGCGGTGTCTTGCTTGATCTGGAAGTGCTGAGACAAAAAGCCTGGGCTCCCACAATACCCACTCTCAGCAAGTGAGTACTCAAGGGGACCTGCCCATTAATTGGAGCCGCTCCGCGTGCTGCAGAGAAGGAAATCCCTTTGGCAAACGCTGGCCGAGCTCCAAGGCTGGGCTGGAAGGCAGATTCAGTCTTGAAAAGAAAATGAACAAGGAGTTGGGCAAAACACCAGCAGCCCCAGCTCTGTGGGAATTAAGATGCGTCCCAAGGAAAGAGGCACAAATGGAATTCCCCGTGTGGATCAGCAGACAGCTCAGCAGCTGGGACTCACCCCAACGCTCGCTCCAGCGCTGACCATCGGGGGTTGGAGCAAGGAGACTTCCAGCACTGGGAGATTTCCAGCTTTGCCCTGCACGTGGGGGTCCCCGACCCCCGTCTCAGCGTCCCCTCCAGCCAGCGCCGAGCGCAGAGCGGAGCCTCGGGTTTTAGGGTGAGAGCTATTTATGTTGCAGGAAGGAAGCCGCAACATTCTCAGTTTCCTGCACAAACACACCGTGGGGCTGCCTGGCTCTGCCTCCCCTACCTGGGTGCTCAGGAAACTGCTAGGAAAGCACGGCCTTTGGCTCAAGGCTGGCATCTGAACGGCTGGGCAAGGTGCAGGCATCAAATCCTTAAAGCAGAGGAGGCTGAAATGTGCCTGGATCCAACAAGCCCTTGTCCTGCACCACAGGGACACCAGGGACGGCCACCCCGGGGGGTGAATCTGGGGTAGTGCTGGTGCACACAAGCAGCTGAGGAGATGCTGGAAGAGACCCATGATGCCAAAGCTGGTGAATGCCACCCGGGCTGGAAAAGCTACAAGAAATGGCTTGGCCAAGTCATCAAGATTTCAGGGTCTGTGAGAGCAGGGGTGAAGAAATGCAAGGAGGAGCTGGTGTCCTACACGGAGCTAGAGCCTGCCTGGGGAAAAGCAGGAGCAGGGAGAACCTGGGAGGAGGAGGACACGGGCCGGGTCCCGGCTGAGGCCGCAGAACGCGGCTGCCCCGAGGCAAAGCGCCCGGCGGGGACGGAGGGTGCGGTGGGGTGTGTGCGCTCCCCGCTCATGGAGCAACACTGCCCGGAGTGTTTCACCCAGAAAGCGGGGTTAATCCTGCCGCTGAGCCGCTCCGGCATGGGAGAAAAAGGCAAAATAAACAAACAAAGCAACCCCCGGCGAGCCCAGCGCAGCAGCTTTAACCTCAGACACTGAGGAATCGGTGCACGTGTTGGGACTGGAGCCCTCAGCACCTCCCAAGAGCAGACACGGTGTCAGCTCAGCAAAATCCCACCCACACCCAGCACCCTCCAACTCACCCGACGAACAAACGACGGCGCCCGGGCGGGCACACACTGGAGCTGAACTGGCCCAGCTCCTGAGGAAAGGCTGCTCCAGGGGCATCTAATCTTTGCAAGCCCCCTGCCAGGGATGTTTCCCACCCGTTTGACACGCTCACCTATGGATGTCATCCTGTTCCTCCGAGTCCTCGGGGCTCAACGTGCCCCAGGAGCCGGGCCCCGTGAGCCGGGCCGGGCTGATGGCACCGGGCGAGCGGCACAAGGACTGCGGCGAGGGCTGGCGGGACCTCTCAGATCTTTCCTGCCAGCGGTTGGGAAGCCAGGCGCGGCCCCACACCACACCCTGGCAGTTCTCACGGGCAAGTACGAACCTTGGCAAAGCCCTCGGCTTGTTGGCAGCCAGCCCCATCGGGCTCATTAGATGCAATTAAGACAGAGTGGGTATCCCCCCCTGCTCCACGCTGCTTTGGGGGATATTGCTTTTAGACAAAACAAACAGGGAGGCTTTGCGTGGGCTCAGGCGGGCGGTTGGCACCCAGGGCCCACGCAGCCGCAGGTGGAAATGCCGAGGTCTCCCTCAGGGAAGCAGAAGCCACGACGGAGCAGAGGCTGGTCCATGATGCCAGCCCTCCTCATAGAATCACAGAATTGCCCAGGCCGGAAGGGACCTCCAAAGGCCATCTAGTCCAACCCCCCCGCAGTCAGCAGGGACACCCCCAACTAGACCAGGTTGCCCAGGGCCTCGTCGAGCCTCTCCTTGAATATCTCCAGGGATGGGGCCTCAACCACCTCCCTGGACAACCTGTCCCAGTGCTCCACCACCCTCCCAGTGAAGAACCCTCTCCTCATCTCCAGTCTAAATCTGTTCCCCTCCAGCTTGAAGCCATTGCCCCTCGTCCTGTCACTGCAGCCCTTTCTAAACAGGCTCTCCCCAGCCTTCCTGTAGCCCCCCCTCAGGTACTAGAAGGCTGCTATTAGGTCTCCCCGGAGCCTCCTCTGCTCCAGGCTGAACAACCCCAGCTCCCTCAGCCTGTCCTTGGAGCAGAGGTGCTCCATCCCCCTCATCATCCTCGTGGCCCTCCTCTGGACCCTCTCCATCAGGTCCATGTCCTTCTTATATTGAGGGCTCCAGACCTGCACACAAGACTCCAGGTGAGGTCTCACCAGAGCAGAGTAAAGTGGCAGAATCACCTCCTGCTCCCACACGTCCCCTCTCCAGCTCCCTGTGCCGTGGCAGCTCCCAGAGAGGAACACGAGACCCCCTCTGCTTTGCAAACAGGAACACACAATAAGATTGACCATAGCAAAGCTTACACCCCAGTTTACCTGTTTTAAAAAAATGGGGGAAAAACTTCCACCCCAACTTAAACTGGTATTTCATTGCATCAGCTCCTCTGCATCACTTCTAAGCTGGTTTACAGAACTGCTGTCCTGCTGCGCTCCCTGTGCTCTGAGCCTCCCTAAAACCACGAAACCACAGAAGAGGATGGAGACGACTGAACTGCGCATCTCCTCCTGCTTCCACGCACCCTCTCCCACCCCGCGCATCCTGGCACCAACACGCGCCACGGGACACGGGTGGCTAAAGCCTCAGAAAGGCTCAAACCACCAAGGACACGCAGGCGAGGTCACTGCCCCGACCCCCCGGGGACCAACAGGGCTTTCACAAGCCTCCAGATCCTTCCCATTTTTCACTAATGCAAAGAGCTGGCTCTGACGGCCGCCAAGGAATTGCTCCATCGCCCTGGCACTGCCGGACACCTCCTGTCAGCAGCGAGAGCCGGGAGCTCCCGGTCTTCCTGGCGGGTTACACGGGCTGGCCCCGACCCTGGGCTTTGTCAGAAACGTTCCACAGCTCCAAAGCAGGGTATGGAGGGTGTCCTGAGAACGGCACGCGATGGGTACCACGCACGGAGGATGCTGTTCAAGGAGGCCAAACCAGCGGCGCTGCATCCCCATCTGTCTGGGCCAAGCAAAGGAAAAAAAGCCCAAAGGGATCCTGAGAGGTTCCTGCTCCCCTACGGAAAAATCAGCAGCGCTGCAAGTCCTGGGGCTGCCCCAGGATGGACCCGACGCCAGCACACGTGAGGTTTGAATTTGGACTCTTCTGGCTGTCCTGGGGTGATCTCAGCTGAGCTGGGATCCGGTTCAGTAAGAGACGGGCTTTTCCCAGTTTGGCTACCAGGAAGCGACAGCCACCCCAGTGAAACTGGTAAAACTCTCCCCGTACGGTGAAACCCTCGGAGATGTGTCACGGGCGATTTCTTCACCTCTGAACGACAGCAGAGGTGTGGCCGCACTCTGACCAAGATTTTTGCTTCAAATGTTTGGGGTTTTACTGGTGCTAAAAGGATTTAGCCAGAGCAATTAAGATCATTTCCCATCTTAATTAATTCTGCTTTCACTTCCTGGCGTGTGGGAGCCCGGCCTCCTCCGGCACAGCGAGGAGCCTTGACTTTGCAGGGCCAGAGCAGCCAGAGCCATGAAAAACCACAGGAAGGACTTTGCAGTGTTTCTTTGTCACCATCAGAGCACTGTCCACATGATGAAGAACTACAAACGTCCCCCAAAAATGCCAGAACCCCCTTTCACAGCCATATTTCTCCATCACAAAGCAAGATGGACCTTCCCCGTTCCCTTTCTCCACCACACACTGCTAATGCTTTCAGAGGCACCTCAAACCGTCCCCACAGAGGGGCCAGGGATTGTCCCACCCCCTGCAGCCCCACCGCAGCACCTCCCCACCACGACACAGCTCTCAGGACGTTTATAACATCAGGACCCCACTTTGCCTTCCCAAAATACCTTCCATTGAGCACCAGCAACCTCAGGACAGCCTAAGGGATGCAGAGGCAGCATCTCCCTTGGCACTGCCGAGCACCACGAGTCCGGCCACGTCTGTGCGTTCCCTAAAAGCCACGTTGCAGAAGCATCTTCTCAGCTGGAGTTGGGAGCCCCCGCCTTGCACGGGGGGACACGCCTGAGTTCACTGGCTGCTGGTGGGGACACGGGACCAGACGCATCTCCACCGCCAAGACCACGCAGAGGAGGGGAGACCTCGGGGGCGTCTCAGGCCAAGATGCACCAGCCCCTTGACCTGGGCGGAGCGGGACGGTGCTTCAAAAAAAAAAAAGCAGTAATTGCGCCGATTGCACAACTGCCAGCGAGAAAAATCCTCTCCCCTCCCCTCCTCCCCGCCCTCCCCACATCCCTTTGAGGCAAAAAGGAAGAAGGCTGGAAACATCCTTCCTCTCCTCCGGACAATGCGATGGAAATAGCAAGGGAGGAGCGGCGGCGGCGGCCTGGGCTCGCCGAGGATGCGGTGCCGGCCAGCGGCAAGGAGCTGTGTGCGGCCAGCGGCTTCCTGCCATTGTCCCCGCCGGGGACCGAGCCCCGGGCAGCTGCACGCCCCGGACAGCAAAGCCAAAATCACCTCTTTGCCCCCAAAGGACCAACCCCGAAACGCAAACCTGCTGCCCCGTCCACGGACCCCTTCACCTGGGACCCCCTGGAACAAAGGCCAGGGCTCAGATTTATTCCGAAATCCACTGGCCGGGGAAACACAGCGATGGCCCCGCGTGGTCCCACAGAGGGGCTGGAAACCAGAGTCTTTGCAACAGGAACAAACACCATGATAAAATCCACGCCTGAGACCGGTGGGATTTTCCACTGCAGGGAAAAAAAAACCCAAAACAACCAAGACGGCAGAAGATACTTTTTCTGGACCCAGCCCGGAGGGTGAAACAAAGCCCCCAGGGAGCAAGTTCCACCCTAAATTCCTATTTTCTTCTCCAAATGGGAGGTGCAGGCGCTCAGGCTCCTCCAGCACACGTCAGCAGCCGGAAAACCCTGCGAAGCCCGAGGCAAGGCTGAGGACGGGGCCGGCTGGGGACGGAGGCTGGGGCAGACGAGGGCGGCAGGAGGACCCGGCCGGGGCAGAACCCCCCAAAGTTCCCCATCAGCCCCCACACACCAGGGATTGCGACTCAAATCGGTGCCAGTTTTGTTATTCACCTCCCATTTCAGAGCACTTTGCAGGTTATTGCTTGCAGCTCTTTTTCATGATGAAGGTGGTGACAGAAACCGTTTTTCTTTTTTAAAAAAAAACAACAAAAAACAAACCATACATAAAAGACTTGAGATGCTTTTAGGACCTGAGCTGGCATTTCAGGGCTGGCACCACCCAACAAGCAGCACAGCCGGACCCACAAACCCTTCACACTCCCCACTGCCTCCGCAGCCCCGAAGGGCACAGCAGGGAGAAAGAGAGGAGGAAGAGGAGGACAGGGGATGCCACACATCCTTGCTCCTCCCCACCATCACCCGGCCCCGTGATGATGGCACGGGCCCCGCTGAGCCCACTGGAGCTGGGGGACGAGCCCAGGGCAGACTGGTCTCTGTTTACCTGTGGGCAAGTGGGGCCAGGTGCCCTCGGAGCTGCCGCTGAAGCCCGGCAGCACCAGCAGCAGAGCCCCTCTGCTCCCCGAAGGCTCCCGAGCACGTCTCTGCCCTGCTGATGGGTTAAAAATAGCAAGCATCAGTATGACTGTCCTCCAAGCAAAGAGAGAGAGATTACATCCTCCCCGCTAAAAATCTATGCAGCAGAGACTTATCCCAACAGAGGCACAGAGGAAAGCTCTATTTCTGGAGCGAGTAACTTGGGAAGTCAGCGCAACATCCTTAAGATGTTAAATTTGTTAAATTGACGCACTGCAGCATTAAACACCGGTGGTAAACTTGCCTTCCCCTCCTCTCCTTGCTTTCCCCCGGGGTTTTTTTTCAGGCTCTCTCGCATCTGCCGGGGGCCGGCCGCCCAGGAGCGGGGCGCGCAGCTCGCACCACGCTCCCACCAAGAACACTCTGCCCCGGTGCTGCCCTCGCAGATGGGAAAGGAACCCGGAGCCAATTTGGGAGTGGTCTTGTCACCTCCTCAACTTAACACTTTCCAGCTCTAAATGAAGCCTTGCTGCAGGAGAGCAGGTACCACCATCCCCATGGCACCAGGAGAGGGGAGCGGGAGGCAGAGGACTCTCCATCCCACCAGTTCCCAACAGGTAAAAGCAGTTTGTCTGTGTCCCCCTAAAAGTAAAAGCCACGGGTGACCTCGGTGGCAGGAGACCTGCTGAGCTTCCCCATCCCTCCTTCCCTGCTGACTCCGGAGGGAGGGGGGCCTCAGCCTGAACCTCATTCTTGGAAAGGGAAGATTTCTACGCAAGCTCGGCCTTTCCATGAGTGTTTGTGCGAACGCACTGGACCCCTCCCACCCAGCTGGGACCTGGCTCTAGATTCAATTGCATTTCTCAGAAAATCACACGGGAGATGAGAGGAATGTGGCGGGTCCCTTCCAGCTCCAGGCGGGATCCCTGGCTCTGCAAAAGCAGCCCGAGGAGAGAAAAAACCCCACCAAAACCCATGGGCAAGGGGATGCCTGTCCTTCCAGTGGCTCCCCAGGGAGATGCCCAACGTGGAGATGCACCACGAGGACCCACCATCGCACCACCCAACACCAACCCAGCTCTGCAGGAACCCAGCTCTGGTCTTGGGCAGCCGGATCCGCAGCCGGCACCTGGACCAGGACCCACAGGCAGCACCCCAGGGACTGGGGTGAGGGACTGATCTGCTCCCAAACAAAACAGCCTCCAGATTCCAGCCTTCACCAGGGCAGGAGGCCCAAGAGGAGGCTGGGGTTGAGGTCACACCATCATCCCCATCGCACGGCAAAGGGCTCCCACTCGTCACCGCGAAGGCGTCGAGGCTGAAAATACGCTCCTGCAGACGCAGCAAATAGACCCAGCATAACTCACTTCACCCCCCTCCCCTTCTCCCCAAAACAAAACACACACCCAGAAACAGAAGGAAACCAGTCAGGAAAAACCCGAGAGTAATTCAACAACTATTTCAAGCGTTTTCATTCCCAGGAGGCGACTGCTCTACCCTCCCCACATCCCCCCAGCCAAAGCGGACCTGCCCGGAGCCCCCTGGGGATGCCCCTGCCCGGTGCCACCGGGCCAGCCCTGCCGGGGCCCTTCTCTCCTCGTTTAACACCGGGCGCATCTCAGCTGGCATTTCAGCGCGCGGGCCGTGCCAGATTTCTCTCTGCTGAGCCAACGCGCTTGGAAATGCATGACGACTTCAGCAGATTAATTGGAAACACAGCCCGGGTGTTGCAATCCCAGGAATGACTCCAATTTCAGGAACAAATGTTTTCATCTCGAACTGGGAGCCGTCGCCCGAGTGGAAGGGCGCATTTTTGTTGCTGTAGCTCACCCCTCCCCTGGCGCGCGGGCGGTGGGAAGAGCTCCGCGTCTCACCCCGGCACGGCTGCTGCGCCGGCGCTTGCATCACCGGGGACCTGCAGGGATTCCTCCCACTCCCCGCCGGCACCGGAGAGGGACACAGAATCACAGAATCTTCTAGGTTGGAAGGGACCTTAAAGATCATCTTGTCCAACCGTCAACCTCACTGACAAAAATAGACACCCCCACAACAAACAAGGAGCATCATCACTAAACCAGACCTCCCAGCACCACATCAACCCGGCTTTTGAACACCTCCAGAGATGGGGCCTCAACCCCCTCCCTGGGCAGCCCATTCCAAAGCCTGATGACCCTTTCAGTGAAAAAATTTTTCCTAATATCCAGCCTGAACCTCCCCTGGCGCAACTTGAGGCCATTTCCTCTTGTCCTGTCGCCTGTGACTTGAGAAAAGAGACCGACCCCCATCTCTCTACACCCTCCTTTCAGGGAGTTGTAGAGAGCAATAAGGTCTCCCCTCAGCCTCCTCTTCTCCAGGCTGAACACCCCCAGCTCCCTCAGCCTCTCCTCATCAGACTTATTCTCCAGACCCCTCACCATCTTTGTCGCCCTTCTCTGGACCCGCTCCAGCACCTCAATGTCTTTTTTATGGTAGGGGGCCCAAAACTGGACACAGTACTCAAGGTGAGGCCTCACCAGTGCC